ACAGGAAATTCTGGAGACTTAAGAAATTTAGTAAGCCTTCTGGCTTTGAACTGAGAAGACTGCCTGAATGCTTGAGAAAAGGGATGGACAACACAAGAACAGATATTCAGGGTGCATCCAGAGAGCTAGTGAAATTGAGTTCTTGAAGAATTAAATTAATTGTGTTTTGCAAATAATAGCTGATTTCATCAAACCAAATTCTTAAAAAGAATATAAAGTTATCATTCTTACAACGTGGGTAGAAAGAATGCAGCAATTCTGCGTACTGATTCCCAACATGAAGTTTCTCAGCTTTGTAGAAGAAAACTTGAATATTCTGCCTAGTTTAGCAATTCTGTCATAGGTACAACCATCATCCTGGGAAAGGCTGGCTGAAACGGTGATTTAAAACCACATTATTTTCAGAAATTGATTATGCCATTTGAAAAACATGGAGTGTTGGTAAACCCTAAATAGATAGGTTTGGCTACTGTTAATCCATATTTTTCATCACTGTGATTCCAGAAAACTTTTAATACCAGTTCCATTCAGTCTGCTTCAGATTAGGTTTGTTATTGTTATAGCACAAGAAACACTCGCAGAAGTCAGGCGGATTAAATGCCAAACAAGTACTTAATCAATTAGAATGATGAAAAACTAGTTAGACTGCATGATTATCTTGAGTTTTGGAGCAACGCTTGAGAGAGAGGTGTCATGACAGTCCTGAAGTGAACTGAAGATCTCAAGCACAGCTTTCTGCTGGTCCTTAGAAATCTTCACCTTCCATCAAATAGTAAAACTGAAGAATACAGTTGCTACCCAACTCACATGAAGTAGACAGGTGACCCTCATATGGGTTTCAAAACTATTTGTCTATCATTTTAATGCAGTATCTCTGGGGAGTGGTGTGAGATTACCAATGACACCAAAGTGCTGGCCTTGCTTCGACAGTCAAGACATAGATAGAGACTTAGACATAAGTGAATAAACTTATTTTGTTAATACATAGTAGAGTTTAGTAGTCAACAATCGAATTACACCCATACGCTTGCACAAATGGGTAAAAATACCTCTGTTTTTAATTGTTAAAAACTGATGTAAAAAATTCCAAACTGACACTGCAAGTTATATTCCTATGCCCACTTTCACTATCTAGTAGCCCTCTTATTCTAAACTCAGTATAAGGAGGTGGAGTTCAGCCCTTGTGAAAAACCACACTAGTGATACAGAACTTAAAATGAAAATTATCTGCTTGATTTTCTTTGCTTGCCATCTGTTCCCAAAACATTGAAACCTGCCTTGTCCCTCTTCTACATCACTCAATGTCTTGTCAATACCTAACAAACTAATGTATCTGATAAACTGATTCAGATTATTATTATTTTATTTTTTAAATTCCAGGCTTATTTTCCTTGATCCACTTGTCCACAGCTATAAGGTTAGCAAAAGAAACACTTTCATAAGCATCTAGTATGCTATTTTTTATTCCTTCAGACACCAGGTCTAAAAGAAAGTGTTCACTCATCCATGGAATTCAAACAGGACAAATGTTTTGCATCCTCAGTCTTGGTGAGTGGTATCTAGTACAAGAGGACACTTACAAACCCAGAACCAAATGAACAATAAAATTACCAGGCATTTATTTCAGAAGATGCAGCTCAGGATTCTTCATCAGTTTAAAACTTTTTCTTAACAAGAAATTTGGACAACAATTTACCTCCATTGGTCTCACTCTAATGAATGTTAATTTCTCTGTTGAAATAGATTAGATTCTTTCTCCCCTGTCTGTAGTATGGTACAGAGCACCATCACCTTTGAAGTCTGTAATAGTATAAAAAAATCTAATTCTGAGTAACTTGAATTCTTCTCTTTCATATATACTTTCAAGGGGTTTAACCTTTCTCTGAGTAGGAGTGTTTACAAAACGTAACTTGGTGATTCATACCACACTCTGCTTGCTCCTAAAGTTTCAGCAGATAAGCTCTGAAATTAAGTGCAAATAGGAGCACAAACATAATGATATACATTAGAAAATACTGCAAAATTGTTGTGCATGAACTTGGACTGTACAAGCTCTCTTGGCTGTACTTTTCTATACTCTGTGACATAATACAGTTGTACAAGTTCTCTACACACATACTCATACATGCACAGAATTTCTCATTCACCACTTCTTAAAGTGATGATGATTAGCCAATCTTACCTCATTCACCTCCACATACATAAGCCCAGATGCAGAGGGAGAGTTGTTTGTTTTTATAGCACCTTTCTAAACTCATTTTTTTTTTGAGAGTTTCTGTGAGAAGCTTTGAATGTTTCTGGTGGGCCTAATCTACAGTTGAAGAGCATCCCTTTAGCTGTAACTTAACATAGCAACCTACAGTCTGCATATACAGAAGTACTTTAACTGCTGTACAAAGCCCTGTAGAGCTAGCAAATCATATATAAAATAAAACAATTTAAAAAGTGAAATTACTCCCGTGCACAGTATACTGAAAGTTAATTTGTCTATGTAAGAGGAATTGTGAAATTTGCAAATACCACAAGATACAGCACTAATGGGGATCATAATTTTTGGCATTAGTTAGAACAATTCCAGTATTTCAACCAGAGATCTAAGCCAGAAAATAAATCTTTTCAGATGTATAGCTGTAGCCTTTATTTCTAACCGCAGCCCATGGCATCTTGGCTTTGGGACTTCACCTGATGCAGAATTTTACACCACCTACATGTTGCTTTGTACTCTAGATTAGGTAAGTATTTTAACACAGAGCTAGCAAACTGGCTCCATTTTTGCATTGTGATGACAGATACACGTCTTAATGTTGAGCAAGGATGTCAGCTGAATTTTGCAGGCTAGAGATCAATAAATGGATGCAACTGAAATTTGTATTGTTTTAGTCAAATTTCTGATCGTTCTTCCCTCACACTGATGCCAAATAGAAAGCAGAAAAATTAGTGCAGTATTGCTGAATGAGTCACAGCTATTTTTCTGACTTCTGACAGCTCACAGTGAAGCTAAAATAGACTCTAAAATAAAAAGAAACTGCAAAATGTATTTTGTATTTTAAAATTCTAAAAAAACACCCCAAAACCTAGAAGATAAAGCAGTCATTCTGGTTAGAGTCTGAGTATTATTCTGGATTTAAAAAAATAGTTTTTGATGAAGATGCATCACCTACAAGCCACTAATTTCCTATTGTGCATTTGTACTCCATAAAGTGCTCACAGAAGAACAAAGAAGTCTACCTTCCAGCTCAGCTGGGTTAACTTCTTTCTTTCTTCTTTCTTTCTGAACAAAACTTCAGTCCTGTTTTGATCCATGTGACAGGTAGTTTTACCCAGAAAACACAAGGTCTAACTTTGGTAATGTAAGTATAACTAAACAGACGGTTATTAAGTGATTCATGAATGATCTAAAATAAAAGATGGAAAAATTAAATATACCACATGGCATTCTGCAGCCTGTGAAGAAGGAAGAACTGTAGACTTTTGTCCCAAATCCTTTGAAGACATCTTTGAAGTGTCTGGAGAAATACTAGGTGGATGTTCTTGGATTTCAGGCTCTGCTTTATTGTCAGGGGTGGGAGCTATCTGAATGGAAAGAGACGCTGTGTGTATCTCAGGCATGGGGTTACAGGCAGGTGAGACAGGCCTTCGTGGAAATACTGGCACTTCAACAGGCTTGAGCTGTTGCTGTGTATTACAATGAATACTACTCACTGGGTCACGTGTCCGGGTTAATTTCAGGGTCGATACCCTACGTTTTTGCGACAGTTGCCTTTGGCCTTGATGGAGAGTAGTACTAATACCAGCTACTGTGCTTGTGCCTGCACTGGAGATTGAGGTCAGTGGTTTAATAATTTTTTGTGCATAGGACACACTTATGTTAGATACTTGAGAAGACATTGTCTCCTGGACAGACTTCTCGTTAGTGTAATAGACAGTATCTGTGGGAAGGTGTTTAGCTGGACCAGTTGTTACTGCCTGGAGGTTAATATTGTTCTTGTGATTAGTTACTCTTGCTTTCCGAAAACTCTCTTTTCTAGGGGGTGGCAGAGGTGCCTTATTTGCCAAAAGCATCCACACACAGCAAAATAACATTGAAGAAGAAACAGAAAGAAAGTAAATGTTAGCAGGAGATAAACTCAGTTTGACTTTTACCTAAATAAAGGAATAGCAATTTAAGGGGCTTCATCCCAACATTGCTCAATCCAATAGGCAACTGAATTGGTCAGAAAGCCAGATGTTCCATTTGCTCAGAGTAAACTGGGATCAGAAGGGAGCCCACAACAGTCCATTTTCTTTTAAAAAAACAACTATTACACTGAATAAGCATTATTACTGTGAAATTATTCAGATATATAAGTAATTTCCAAAATGTACTCCATAATCTTAGATAACAAGCTATTATTCACAGACAACACACATACATTAAACACACAGAACCTCAACCTTTTGAATTAAAATAAAAACAGAGACAGTATCGATGTTGGTATGTTGATCTTTTTTGGACAGATGAATATGCTTCCAAGTTAAGTGCTTTTTGGTGTTTTATTTTGTTTTTGTTGGATTTTCTCTAGTGTGGTCTAATTATATTGTTCAGCAAAACAGGCAGAAACACTGTCTATGTTATAATTAATAAACCTTTATCCTCAGATATTATTTTGATGATTGATGCATTTCTCTGAGCATGAAATATTAATAAATACTCTTTGAAGTCTGGAAACACTTGTAGAAAGCTCTTATTTGTGTATGACCTACTTTTATTTAGCTGGCTGTCTTGTTCATTGAAAGCAATTCCTAGTAATTAACCTGGAGGCATGCATCCTATGTGGAGTATGCTTTATCTATCTATGCAGTAAAACAGTTTGTAACAACCCATATAAACCGATGATTTGCGCTACCTGGAAGACATCAGGATAATGTTCCATAGAGTTATCCCATCTAATACATGCTATCTACCAAGAACAAGCCCCCTCCAAATGCCAAAACATGAAAGTTGATGTGTTCAGTTTTACCTGAGTTGGTGATCTTTTATCCTGTAGATTTGGCCGCACACTCCTAAAACCTTTTGCTGTGAGAGATGAACTGCTAGCATCTCCATTCAGTGTCTCTCGACTTCCGTCATTGTAAGATCTCCAAGCTTTTGTGGGGAAAAAAGAATCAAACAATTTTTTTGATGATCAGTAGATCTCTATATTGCTATCATCATAGCTATTAAACAAACTGGGGAAATGTTTAGTTACTACAGAACTGACACTGCTGCTGTTATTGCCATGGAAGTTATAAGAACAGGGCTAGAGCTGCCACTTCACATAAAAATTATCTTTAAAATTTAGAAAACTCAAGCATTCACAATACTGTGGGTACCAGTGTGATATCTCCCCACAGCATTCATAGAGACTATGAATTTTAACCCTGGGAGTCCTTTTGAGGTGTTGGTGCTTCAGTCCCTGCATAAAGCAGGCTGAATACTTCTACGGATTAGGTTCTTCAACTTCACAGCTGTGACAGATTTTGAAAAACTTCCCAGTACACGTAAAGTTAGTTGGTCAGGGTAGTTTCACCAAATTTCACCACGATACCTGATCAGTTGTTTCAATAATGCATCTTATTTCCAAATCTGAATGTTACCTTGACTTTCCAAACAGCCATATATTGTCTCTGAAAAGCCTTCAAGGCATTGACTCAACATAAAGGGAGATACTATCCTGCCTCCACAAGTTACAGATTTGAAGACAAAATACTGGAAGAGACTGGGAAAAGTAACACATTATGTGAGCAGGCTGCTAAGTGGGGTGGGCAGAACTTGCAATCTTGAGTAAGGCACTATAAATGAAATCGCAAGTGCCACTGAAGCTAAAGGTGGCAAATTAGCAGTTTGTATTCTCCCAGACAATTAATTTTCTGATTACATACACAGTGTCACAGGAAATACTGCTTTCAAATGACATCTGAATTTGAGGTCTTAACCACTTGCAATTATTATTACAATTTCAGTAATGCTTTCCTTAAAGAATGTGGAGTAATGATATCAAATAAATGGAAGATTGTTAGAATTCATCCACTTCCATGGTATTACAGTGATGCATAAATAACACAGCGTTTTATTTACCTGAATCTGGAGACTGAGAATCAGATCCTGAAAAAGAAACATCCAGCATTAATTTGTGCTAGAAGATATAAAAACATGATGACACAACTTGAAAAATATGTAGGAGTCTTTTTGTTCAGTTACCTAATTCCCTCCCATTACCTAAGCACACCTCAGAATGTTACAGCATAGGTAACTGTGCAATGTTTATTGCACAAGTTCTACAGAAGGTTATGGTGTGCTGAGAGTTACTATTATTTAATCACAGCTGCTTCAGACAGCAAATAATAAACGAACATTTGCTGTGTTTTGTTTTCTTTTTTTTCTAGTAAATACCGTGATATACTACCATCTAAAATCTAGCTATCAAAAGAAATATAATTTCATTCAGATGAGCTAAAAAAGTTTAGTTCAAAACCAAGAAAGATGCCTAGAGATTCTGTCAGGATTTTCTCCCGCTTCACACTAGAATGTGTGATGCTTTCTCCATCACTTCAAAGCAAAACACAGAAACTGATGTATACACACTGTCAGCACAGAACAGATTTGAAGGTCTGGTGCTTTTTTGGATTACTTGTAGATATATTTCTTGGTTTTTTTTTTTTTTTCTCCTAAAGAAACTAAAATTATGACATCTCTAAACAAATTAGAAATACTTTTAATGTACAATAATAATAGTACTAAGAGCACTCCTTATCACTAATTTTACGTGCAAAAAAGCAAGACAGTAAGAGGCTTATTTTGGATGCTTAAATGACAAAAATTTGTTAGAAGCATTGTTAAGAAATAAGAACTCACTTTTCTTAAATTTACATACATGCAGTAAACCCAATAACCCTTCCACTGTCCTTACAAAGTGCAGCAACTATTTTTTTTAACTTGCTTCATAATTCTAACAGTTCTATCAGTCTTATACTTGGAAAAATCTACAAAACAAAGACTCTATCTTGCAGCTATTTTCTGGCTTGTTCTCTATTCAGCTTCTGTATTATCTTTGTTTGCTATGAATGCTGCATGTTCAGATTGGTGTAACTCAGTCTACACTACTTAAGATTCTTTACTGATTTTACAGCTACTTAATTCACTACTGAACCTGGGCAGCTGATATCAATTATTGATATTTATTATATTTATAATATTATTTTAATTAAACCAGACATGAGGATTGCTAAGAAGCAGTTCTGCCTGTCTACTGAATATTCTGTGTGCTTTTTTTGTTTTTAAGTTTTAGGAAAATATGCTTGATTAATTATTTTTTAAAGTTAATCTGGCTTCTGACAATCACTTTACAATATTCAGATTCTCTTCCTTTGAGAAGAGTTTTTAAAGCAAGTTGCAGTAAACAAAGTTTGCTAGAAACAAAACCTAGTCTTCATGCTATATTATCTTGAAAAAAAACAGGGGACATGAGACCCAAAATATGTATCAAAGGCAAAATTAATTTATAAATAACTGATTTTTCCTAAGTTTTCCTGGTTGGTTTTTTTTTTTTTTTTTCTGCATAGGCAGAGAGAAATTAAGACTACTTTTTAAATACGGTTACCCTTCTCCTCCTTGCAGAGTCTTATTGCAGGAACGCACAACACAATAGAAAAGTCATTCAGGAGCAGTATCTCCCTGGTAAGTGGTTATACCTGAGGCCAACAGGTTTGGAGAACTCTGAACTCTCTTCACAGCTGTTAATGTGACAGACATTGCAGCACGTTTGCGAGCACACCCACCGCTATCTGGAAGCACAAAACATTACAGACAGCAGCCCCAGACAAAGGGAGCAAGCACATGCAACATATCACAGTGTGAGATACACCGAACACACATGAAAATAAGCATGCAGTTAGGGAAGTGCTGCAGAAATGTGTAAATTTGCAAGTTTCAGAGATTAGCAGAATGTGTAAAATTTCACAAGTTTTAAACAACAATAGAAAACAGAAAATAAGAAAGCAATATTTAATACTTGATCTTTTAGGGAAATACATACATTCTGTCACCTGAAAGACTGCTTAATTATAGCTAATTAGTAAAACCAAACAAGTAATCAAGATGAAGAATTAAGCATTCCAGAGTAATATTAATCAATTATCTGCACTGTAGAATTATTTCATTGTATGCATTAGAAAGACACCATTCATAAACTAAGCTTATGTTTGATCAGCTTTTGTTCAGTCTTTTGGATCCTTTAAGCTCAAGAAACAAATGTAGCAACTTTTTTGTTGTTTTAGTAAAACATCCTTCTTCTACCTTCCCCCCTTCTTTTTTATCTAATGGAGGCTAAAAAAAATATATATGTATATATATATATATATCCGGAACTCTATAACATCCCACGGGAACGACTACAAATCAAAAATCACTCTGGACAGCCTTTCTTCTGGATCTTGTGCGACTCCTTTCTTTCCTTACTCTCTGCTCCTCTCCCACTTGGAGTTAGCTGTCATTCCGGTGTATAAATACTTTGTTATTATTAGAAGGCAGGTATTCCCACAACTTTGCTTTATAGCAACTGTATCATAGTTATAAAAGCAAGTTAATAAATATTATTCCTTATTATATTAATCCTGATTGTATTTAACTAGGATATTTTTCTGCTCTTCACTATAATTATTTTAATTTTCATATTTTATACTACTGAAATTTCATACAGGGCCCCACTGAAGTCAAGAAGAACCACAATTATGGTAAAGGCTCTAACAGTTTTTATATCTGTGTCCTATGACAGAGAGTTTTATAAAATTGCTCTTCAGGAAGACCTGCAACCTACTAGTAGAAAGTATTTTCTATGATAGCAGTAATTTGAACTACAGAGACATCTTTAACCCACATTTGCAGGAGAAGTGAGCTCCTGGTATTTCTTTGCTCATTCCAATATTCCCCCTAAATAGCTGTGCCCTCTGGCCGCAGCTCTTGCAGCATACGCATTAAGTAGTTGTTAACATTGGCAAACATCGAAACCACTCCCTCAGGTGCAAGAGGTTCCAAAGACTCAATGGCAATTCCAAGTCTCAAGGCAAAAGGCCAAATAATTTCAGTCAGCAACAGTTGAAGGCAATACTTTACCTGCAATTAATTATTGTTGCTGCACATGTGAAACAAAGACAATGGCTATATCAAACCTGCACATTCATTCCAGTTTGCTTGCCTAAATATAGAAGGGGATTAATAACTAAAATCACATTTTCCATTCTTGTATTTCTTCCCTCCCCCAACATACACCAGAAGTAATTCCAAGGAGATCTAATGATGTGTTGATACTGAGGTTCTGTTCTCCTAATATTAGCAGACTTTGACAGCATAGTTTATTTCATACAAGCTAACAGGCAAACAATTTTGCTGTATTGTCGTATCTTTTATTCAAACAAAGTGATGCTTTATTTGCATTTTTTCAAGAGCTACCTTCCTGAATTTCAGGACACAGAACCTTAAGTGGGAAAAAAAGGAAGACAATGAGAAAATGTACTACAAATATTTAATCATTATAACTTCAAGAAATTCTTCCCCAAATTAATTTTTAGTGTAACTGAACCGAGTCAGAATTTTATACTTAGTGAACCCATCATCTCGAGAAGTGTTTGACATGGCTTCATGTAAGATAGCTAAAACAGATGTTTAAGTGGTTATATAAACCTAAGCACATATTTACCCCTATACATAGAAGCCCATATGTAAGTCTGTACCTCCAATAACATTCTTAGTATCCGTACACAGTAACAAGAGGCAGTTAGCACTCAATCAATTCATAGAACCTATGATTCTACGATTCTAAGACATAATCACACAAATAAACCATATTGAGTTGTGCAAAATTTCTAATAAAATACGAGTGCATATGGGCAAGCACATATATATATGCATGATGGATTCCATCTTCCCATCTTTGCTCAGGCCAGGCTCCCATTAAGTTAAGGGCACTGCATCTGAATTAGGATCGGAAGAATATGCACGCTGCCTCAAAAGAGGCAGCTTTCAAACTGCTTCCCTTATCTGCACAGCCTTATACATTGAACTTCAAGAGGCTTATTCCAGTCTGTATTCCTTTTCTCATGGCTGCATCAAATTTCCAGCAAATACTGACTATATTCACCCAGATGCCTGAAGTCCCAATAACATCAAAAGGCAGTAAGTCTAGAGAACAGAGAATTCAAAAGCAGTAATAAAGGGTGAATTAGTGTTCATCTGATCATTTGACTTGCAAACTACAAGCAATTAATATTGCACAGCTGTTTCTTAGGAATAAATGAGGATATATGAAACAAAACAAAATGTATGCATATATAAAAAAAAATGTGTGCAAATATGAATACACATATGCACAATTTTCTGTGCCTTTGACACAAATTCTTCACGACTGAGAGTCCTGTCTTCCTAGATATTGTTTTAACACTGAGGCAAAGATGACCTGAATCAGGTGAAGTCTGCAGGCAATAACAGAATATGAAGTTGGGCGATAATTCATAATCAAAACAGCTGCCTAAAACAGAAGTCCAGCTCAAACTAGGACTTACACAGTTGTTGTCTAGATATTGCAAGCTCTACATACTCCAATCAAATCAGGAAAAGACAAATAGGCATCCTTAGCTGGTACTGAAGAAAACAAAAGAGAAAGGGGAGGTAAAGATTATCATCTGGTGAGTCATGGTTCTGAAAGTATTTTGCAGAGTAAGAGCCACAAAGGAATAAACTCCTGAATGCTAGGATCAATGTTGTAGACTTACCTTTAAAGAGAGAAAAAGAAAGAGCCACCCATTGACAGGAAAAGATAGGTGGAGGTGGTGGTTTGTCCTCCAGCCAAGAGGATGCGTGTATTTGCATATGTATCCTCTGGATGCTCTCTCCCTCTTGTTAGCTCACCATTCAGCTCCTCTCCCATTGCCAACTCCCTTCCTAATTTTTTTCTCTTCAGCCTTTCTCCATTCCTTACCTTTCCTGACTTCTTTCTTTCTCCCTGCCTTACTTTTGTGTCTCTCCACAAATACACACTTTAACCTCTAAATCCACAATCCCAACAAGTGCTCACACTGCAGGCAGCATCACCTTAAGTGAGCTGTATCTCTGTTTGACTACAAATAGTCTATTGGCCAGGTCCTGCTCCAGAGGAGAATGGAGCCAGTTCAAGACAACACCATTTTAATTTAGGAACATTGGGTGAATCCTTTTTTAAAAAGGCTGTTTCAGAGTCAGTAAAAGCAGTGTCATAAACGAAGCTGGTAAAGGTGAAGGGATGGTGACCTCTTGTGAAGAGGTGAGAGAGAGAGCAGCCAGGGGCCAGGAAATTTTTAATAAGCTTTTACAGCTCAAAGGAAAGAAAAATGGCACCCAAACATAATGTTTGCTGATCATTATTCTATTCATTATACTTGTAAACAGTATCATTTCCTCCTTTGTCTGCAGGGTGAATGCAAGTTTAGAAGTCTTTAGACCAGGGATTCTTACTCCCTATTGTCATTCTGTCCTTCTGAAACAAATATACAGTGCTGGATACAACAGTCCAAGACAGGCAAAGCTGCTGCCTCTCCATGTCCCTAGGTCCAAGTGGTGGCGAGTCTGGACACGTGTTCCCAGGAGACACGTGCACATGAGCACATGTATACAGCACATACAGATGGTAGCACAGATCACAGACACTCAGAGCACTCACACTAACAGACAGCACAATGGCCTCAGTCCCCTCTTCTCTCTGGACGGGCAGGATGAAGGTCCACTAGTGAGAATATATATGCGCACATGTACAAGGTGGGTCCTTCCAGCAGCTGGGCTCAGCTGCTGAGTCTGCCATTCATTCCATTCCTGGACCACAGGGCTGATGCTCTCATGGGACAGTCCTGGACAAGGGAAGCCCTTGTCCATCATTTTGTTCCTCGGGACTCCTTAATTTGGATTCCTGCCTACCCTTGTGCCCCTGTGCTCCTCTAGGTTTGTGCAGATGGGCCTTTGATGGCTCCTGTAATGAGCCTGGGAGTAGCCTGATCAGGCAGGCTATTATTTGGGGTTCCCCTCCTGTCACTGTTTCTCTGAACTCCTTTGTAGGGGTGAGCCTACTATTATTTGGTTCTTTGATGCTGCTAAATGACAACAAATAATGATTTTAAAAGTAATTTTATTATTTTTTTTAATGCCTGAGACACTCAAACCCACTTAATTTGCTTTAGTGATCTAAAAGTGGCTTCACAATCTATTCAGGAATTCTGCAGGGACCCAAGAATTTCTGTTCTTGTCTCCCAGTCAGAATGTAAGACATTAGTCCACGTGATGACTCCCATTAACAATTTTAACAAACACAAAATATTTGCATTCTTCCAGAACAACATACTTTTTCACTATTCTTGGCTGCTTTTTATGTGCTTTATCTAATGTAAACACTCAAAATATTTACAGGTGGATACTAAGAATCTGTTTCAGCACATTAACTTATATTCATCCATTATTCCTTAATGCAATTACCTTTCCTCCAACATCAGCTATGCATGCACATAAGTAATATGAATAAACACATTTATCCTGTGTTTTAAGCTGATGTGAGCTTCATGGGTAGCCCAGGTTTTCTGTGACTTAGTTTCTTCAAATGTCCCATCAAGTTAATGATGTTCATAGAATCTGAAAAGTACTTAACTTGTTGATGAAACCCCCTATATAAAGTTTAAAATACTATTCTGTCAATGATTGCCTAGTCTTTAGGGTTTAAAAAGGCACACTAAAAAGACTACTATTTTTAAATTAATTAAATGGTGTTCCATTTGAACACCAAAAGGAACTATGAGCTGAAGTACCTTTGGTACTTCTGAAATCCTCCCCTATATCTGACATCTAATTCTTTGCTTCTGCAAACATGTTTCATAGCCTTATGCTGCTGAATATTCCTTCCTAACATGTGGAACAGAATTAACATCAAATGCTAAAAAATCCCTCCCATATATGGTAGAGTATTGAAAACCAAAGCTCTTCAAAACATTTTCTCTGTAGACAAAAATATCTTCTGCAGGGTTTGCTGAGACAGACTGCCAAGTCTGTAGCCACAGGGAACACTGGATTAGAGGAGCCTACTCTAAGCAGTAGATTTACTTTTTCTTTTTAAAGCTGCATATACACTAGCTTTGCCACTTCAGTAGTTACTGGCACCAGACCAGAATGCTCATTTATCTGCAGGAGTAATTGATGGAATACGTATTTTATAAAACAAACTACTGGCAAATCAATAGAATCTGATAACTTCCAATTGTGTCATGCACAAATTCCTGTTATAAAGCAGTGAAATACATATACACATATAAAAAGTGCAGCACTCAGTGTTCAAAGACAACAAAGTGGGGGGAAAAAAGGAAAAAAATAAACACAACTAGACCAGAATACCATGCAGAACTGCTTCCACCACAGTCACTGTCTCCTTAGTGAAGTGATGCTTTATCAACAGATAGGTGCAAGATGTTCATTTTTACACCCTACTCACAATCAGAAAAAAATCTACACGAATAGAACTGATAGGAAATACAACATTTTTTGTCGATACCTACTTTTAGTGTGGCTGGTAACACGCACATTTACATCAAGCATACACAGGATGAAAAATGTTTTATTGTGTAAGTGCAGAGTAGATTAAATTTCAGCTTACAATCATGATATCCTTAGGTAACTGGAAAGGATTTCAGGTGTGTTCAGGTATTTTAAGTCAGTTTTCAAGGCTCCTGTGTGATCATAAGACTCTCAGTCCCCAAAAGAAGTTACTCAGCCGCAACCACGTAGGTTACTTAAATCTTACATCTATTTCTCTTGCCAATTTCTAGCTTACACAAAAGGAACCTTAGTACAATCTTAGTCATACTTGAGAGCTGCAGTAGCACAAACTGGCAGTTTACTGCTCTATCCACATTTCTCAAAGTAGAAGCTATAAAATAACATCTATCATATGATTTTAACTCTTACAATTGCAATACACAATGTCTCATAGTCAAATATATGATGATCAGCTGAGTTACTTCTGAGATGACAGTTCTACGAAGCAAGTAGTCTTTCAGTACTACCTTAATTATACAGACTGACATGTTTAGGGAAGACATCTTCATTAAAAATGCAAGAGGATAGTGCAAATCTCAAATAGTATTTCTGTAAACGAATAACACACCACCCACGTTAGCATGAATATGGTTAAGAATACCCAAAACTTTGGGAAAAACCCCACAAACTTAAGTAAGAAATTTTATTTCTCCTTCTTACATATTTACAAATACAGTGGTTTCAAGTGAGCCAATATATTTAAACTTTGTATTAAAACGTTTGTCCAAGCCTTACTGAGTCCCAGCCATTGTCAAAGACAAGGGGAAGCCAGGAAGCCTGATTAATATAGCGGTCTAGATAATGGACAACCTACACCATGGAAAAGCTAATCCCTTTCATTTAGAGCATGCTGCTGAAACACCCACACTGGCTTCAAAGGTAGTTCAGGCCTTCAGGTCCACATAACACATTTTGATTATTTCAAGTTGTCGTGTCAGTTGTCATAGGGCAGCACTACCATCAGTGATAAAACCAGCTGTTTAAGGGAAGGATGGATATGTCTATCCTTGTACCACAGTTAATCTGCAAACCAGACAGTTCACCTATGGCATCTGAAGAGTTGACTGCAACTGAAAATCTACCGCAGACATAAGCTAAGCCAGGAGTTCATCATTGTGCTTTTGAGAGGCCTATTCCCATTTCCAGCAAAACCAGCAGCACTATCTACTGATTTCAATGATTCAGGAGCAAATATTAGTATGTTGTCACAGATCACGAAGATAACTTCCTACAGAGTACTTCATTTTGTCAATACATTTATCACAACTACTTGAGAGAAAATACAAATCCCCTGTAAGTACAGAATAGTTATCCTCATCTGATTATGCAAGTGTAGCTAATAATACACAGTAGTATTTATATGCTTCTTAATCTAATGACTGTAGAGAATGGAAACAAAGCATTTTTAAAGCACATACGTCTTCTTAGGAAAATGTGATTTAATACCACTTTTCCATAGTTGTTAGGTCCTCATACTACATATTTTTACATAAAACATACACATACAAAACTGATAGTTGTAACTTACACACAGAAAGCTAAACATGCACGTATATTTCACACATTGATATATTTCCATACATAGAAAAACATGTATGTAAATTTTATAACAGAATACAAATGCACAAGTCTCATGTCTCTATGTAAGCAGACATACTATTAAAATACCTTGTTTAATTTGAGTTCAGTACCAACTTAAGTACAATTTGTTCATGAAAATTTAAATAAAATTGGGACCTTCTCTGCTTACTAAACAACACATAAGAGTAAAGAAAAAATCTCATGGAAGCAGCATACCTGTGTTCATTTTGACACTGCAGGATTTGCTATAAAAGTCTTCAGATTTCCTGTGGAAAATAAAATGATCTATTAATTTGCACAAGACAAGAATGTGTGGTACAAAATGGCAGCAGGACTTCTTGGAGGGGTGGAGAATCCCTGTGATACAAATGGCAGTCCTATTTTAACACAGCTTTAATTAAATTGGTACTGCTTGTCCTTCCAAAGTTAAAGATGAGCTGTTGCTTCCATTATAAGCTACTCTATTTTCAAGTGTTTAGTATCTCTGTTGTAAACATTTGCTCTCAGATAAAAGCCTAGTGATTGACTTTTGGTCTTGAAACTATAAACTAAAAATTATTCCTGTACAGGAATGGGGAAATATTTTTAAAAGCTGCTTATATACTTTAGTCACTCCTCTGTGCAAACTGAAAGACATAATGACTAGGTCTCTTCAAATATTTTTTAAGCAGCCAAGTTACCAGGTCTTCTTCAACTGTTTATAAGCAGGAGATGTGGCTGTTTTCATCCAGTGATTTGATGTGTCTCTAAAAACAACACTGACACTTGATGCTGCTCACTGTATCACTATTGCACAAGACACAGGGCATGTTTCAAAACTCCCAATGGAGTCAACAGGTAGAGAATCAAGTCACTACACATCAATGCACTTTTAAAAGGTAATAATTTGCACCAAAATAGTGTAAAATGCATGCAAAGCTTGAATCTTTTTATTTAGAGATCCCAACTCTACATAGTACTTACAAACAAATAGTAAACCCCCACAAAACCAAAGCACACCTGTAGAAAAAGCATGACACCCTACATTAACAGGTGACTTTCACTTATTGATGGTATGTAACAGGACAAACTAGACACTATTTTCCAACTACTGCCAGTTTAAGTCACAGCTTTATCTTAGGAACAGGAGCTTTAATAACTCTTCTATTCAGCCTCCAATGGCATTCTGCATACTGGCCAGTCTCAGCTGTATTGTTACAAATATGCTTACACTATAATTTACTGAGTGGACAGACACACTGGAGGCCAAAATACTGAGGGCTAAAAAAAAGTCATTTTCCCTCTGCACTGCTCTCACATCAAATTCAGGATAAAATAAAGGGAAAATCAGAATTTTTAATGCAATACAGCTTAAAAAAAAACCCAAACAAAAAACCAATCAAAAAAACCCAAAAAAACCACCAAAACAACTTAGAACTATAAACTGCCTGACTATGCTGGAAGGACCCTTTTTATATTGGGAGACTTAAGATACTCATTAATACAAGTACACAAAATACCAAAACAGAGTTCCAGCTCAATTCAACAGGAACCCTGAATTAACTGTACCCCTGACAGAACACGTATATTGCAGTATTTATAATGATGCCAGATTCTTCACTGCTTGAAAAACTTAACTGTTTTCCAGAAATTATCTTAGATCTGTTGCTATTTTCAGTCAGTTTTGTGACAAAAAAAAGGTGCATGTTACACTTCTTGAGAACTATTGGAATTTCTAAGAGAACTTCTAAAAGATCTTTTAAAAATTAAGGCAAATTATATCTATATTTTTTTTAATAAATGGTCTTTGACTGAAATTTTGTGTTTCTATAGCAGCTACAGAATATTCTTAAAGCCTTGGATTCCTACAGTGTTTTCAGATTGCTAGAGGAGACACCATTTTCAAGCCTTCTTTCAGCTTGCAACTGAATCACTGATGGTACCACACACAGGCTATGAAATGCAACACGATATTTATTTTCAGACCCAACAAGTACAGAACTCTTGGAACACTGCAGAACCAAAATGATTTCCAGCAGGTGGCTCTGATATATTTACACAAGGCATACTTAACTCTTACTCAAGTTTTAACAGACAACACTCAGTTTTAGCACTGCAGCTTTGCCCTTCTAAAAGTTCTTCTATCTGGACAGCTTCAGCTCAGTTGCTGACACTCAGTGAGGGATTGCATACAAACCACTAACATTTCCACATTAATCTCATTTTGCTGAACAGCAAATTAGTCTTGCATACCTGTAAAGTATGCATGTAAATAAGGCAATATAAATCACGCTCATACAAACAGGCCTTGCATTTAATACTAAAATTATCTGAAATTCTCTGCTTCTAAGTAGCTAAAGTAGCATTCAAATACTTAATGATACTGACAATAGGATCCAAACAAATTCAATGAACTTATGCCTGAAAGCATTTTGCTCAGCGTCACTTCAAGCAGTCTTTAAGATCCTTACTTCAAGAAAGTGGGGGGAAGAAGAGGGGAGCAAAGAGAAGTAAAGGGCTTTTTTTTGCTTTGTACTTTTGTTCCTACTTCACTGCCTCCTGAAAATTGTTCTTTGTGAATGGGTTTGTAAGTAGCTTTAGTACAGACCCCTGACAGGCAAGATCAATGTTCCAGTGGAAGTATCAGACATTCTTCACTTCAAAAAAGGATGCCAAATGATCAGCTAGGATACTTAGCTCTTGGCTAATTCTGTGACAGAAGGAATGCCCATAATTATTGTGCAGACACAAAGCACTAATGGAACGCATATTTGCAAATCGCATGTTTGCTGTTCAGTCACCTAGATCAGGAAGGTTTTGTACTAACTTCATGCCTGGTCTTAGATGCTGGGGTAAAAGAACACTAAGTTTATCCCCAGTAGCATGCCTAACTTTTGCAGAGAGAGATCCAGGATTAATCTTCATGGCATTCTTTTACAGTTGGCTTCATCTGGCAGAGGTAATGCAGCAAGAAATGAATGACTGCGCTAATGCACAAAAATGCTCTGTCAGGGTGAATACAGTTGCAGTTCTATCATTTCAGTAAATACCTAACATGTATTGCTGTGTTACTTCTTGATAACTCCCTATATTTTTTGATAACACTAGAAGATTACCTCAGCTTGGCAACACGCTGCACTGAGAGAGGCTACAGAAAAGACTTGTGGGAATCTCACTGACACCTGCTCTATTTTCTCCAAGAGACCCTGATAGATCGTTGTGATTGCTTCTTCTGTTCCTGGTAAGTTCTGAAGTGTGGGGTGCTGCAAGGAGCCGTTCTGTCACCCCTTCTGTTCAATATTTATATGAAGCTATAAAAAGGGTTAGTGAGAAGTCAAGAGAGGTTTCCCCGCCCTCAGTTTATTCATGAGTACAAGATGCATTTCTTTACTGTTAGAGGCTTAATTCTATTACTGATCAGATATTCAAGAACCTACAGCTCTAAGGTAAGAGCTCTAACATCCAACCAAACATAAACTAAATAAATATGAGCAAGTGCTTTGTGAATCAAAGCCTAAATGAGTAGTAACATGCTATTACCTGCTTGCACCTTAATCAAAGAATTAAGCTAATCATTATTATTAACCATAACCCATAACTACCTGAGGACAGAGAACATCAGAAGTTAGAATATCCTTTCCATGTAAAATTCTGTAAAGAACTGGGAGGTAAAGGAGACTTTTTTTTTATTTTTACAAGCATTCCTGGTGCTGAGTACTGAAGGGTAAATTGTGAGTTTGATGGACTTGAACTAAGTATTTTCCCCCAAGGTATTCCAGACATCTTTTAAAAGTTGGCAGAGATCAACGAGACAGTGTTAATGGACTAACAACCTTTCATAACAGATTCTAAGTTACCTGTTGCTTACTTGCCATTTCACAAAATATATTATTAAAAGCAGGTTTAAAATGCAACTTTCTTCTATAGTAATTATATTAAAGTTAATTCTAGTATGTGCTCTTTATAGTTACAATCCTCCATAATGAATTTCACCTTAAGTATCTTTGGTGAGAAAAGCAATTGGCTTACAATACAGAGTGCAGATGGATCAACAGCAGGATAGATATGTGTGTGATCTGTCTAGAAAATGGTAGATTTTCATTCTCCTAGGTAGACAGCAGTGCCCAGATATTTGAAAAGGACAGAAGCTTTCCAGATTTTGTGAAGAGTGTCAGACTTGCACTAATGTTGCCTGCCAGTTTCACAGTTTGAGCTAGAGACAGCAATCTACTTGAGAAAATATCTGCAAAATTAAGGAACCAAATCAGTCTGTAAGTTTACTGCAAGGATTGTTTATTCAGTTAGTTTAAACATTGTAGGTGATCTACAAACGTGTATTTTTTAGCAGGCAGGATTCTATATGCTAATTTGCATGTGGTAGTAAATTCTTTCAACCCAAGTCATTAAGACTCTGTGGAGCATTCCTGTTCTCATCTCTGCAACAGGCCAATATACTTTATAGGCCAACTCACACATCCAGTGAAGGAAGGTGATGGTGAAGGGGGGGAAGTATGAAGCATTAGTTCTGGAAAACAGTGAAGCTGACTATATTATTTCTCTTAGTTTTTAAAACAAATTGTTTCAGGTGTTTACCTGTAGCAGGATAACTATGGCAATGAGAATGCAATGAGAGCTTGATAGACCACAAAATGCAGCAACAGCGACTCACGTGAAGAAACCACTATCCCAAAGCTTCCCTGGGAGCAGTCTCTCCTGCTGAGCCTCTAAGCAGAAGGAAAGTGTATATGCAAATTTATTGCTCATATGAACACCCCACCGCCCCCCCCCAAACATTTGATGAAACATAGGTAGATGGTATGTAATAAAAATTTGAGAAGGTACTGAAGAAGGTTCCACCACGTTTCACTTTCATTAACATGCTACAAGAAGACAATAAAATAGTAGGGAGCCTGTACTAAGATCCAACCCAGCAAGGCATATGCTGAGCATATGCTTAAGCATATGCTTTAGGTAGGCCCCACAGACCTATTTGTATGCCTAATGTTAAACATAAGCATAAATACTGTTTGCCCTAGATCATATTGTCTCAGCCTACAAGGAGTTGAATACTCCAGTTGTAATTGTTTTCAGATAGGCAAAGAACAAACCACAGGCAGACAACTGCCATCATAGTTTCTGTAATTTTAACTTTTAAATTTTGTTTACAGGATCATGAAGAGATCCTCATGTTAAGTGCAGTGTCGTTGTGCACACATTACTTATGCACATTATCTGCAAATGTACTGA